TCTCTCTCTCTCTCTCTCTCTCTCTCTCTCTCTCTCTCTCTCTCTCTCTCTCTCTCTCTCTCTCTCTCTCTCTCTCTCTCTCTCTCTCTCTCTCTCTCTCTCTCTCTCTCTCTCTCTCTCTCTCTCTCTCTCTCTCGCTCCCCTTCCACAACTACTACTACTATAGAGGCGCACGTAAATACCCACACATATAGGCGCGCCGCCGCCAGCAACAGGTGACGAGGTTATTAAATCATTACTACCCGCAACCCGCGTGTCAAACGCGCGTATAGCAATAATAACGTTCCGACGGGAAGTGTGTCACGATTTGTCACACGCGTCTAGCGGGTGGTTGGGTGGGTGTATAACTGAGGGCGGGTGGATGGAGTGGGTGGGTGGTTAATTCGCGGTGGTTGGCTGTCCATGCGTGCAACCATGAGCACGCGGGCGAGCCAGCCGGCGGAAGTCGTGGCACGAGCCACACACTAGCGGCAGTAATTACGCGTGTGCGCGTGGGCGCGCTACCGGTAGCGAAGAGCGAAAACAACGACGCGCGCTGGCGACATCTAGCGGCCGATAATACTGTTAAGTTCGCTCTGATGAAATTGTTTAGAAGGTGTCTGGCTGATTTATTTTGCCCGAAGGAGCTAAAGCCAGGCGCTGTTTGTGTTTTTGAACAGTTGTGACCGTGGTCAGATCGAAAGACCAGCGGGGCGTCTGTCAGATCTGCACCTACGGTCCTGCATATATGATTTTGTTGTAACTATTCGTCTGAAATGAGGGCAAGCCATGGAAAAACTGTTTAACAGTTAGAAATTTCAGAAAAGTTTAAGACCTTTTTATATAAAGGCGGCAAAGATTTTCCACACCTCCCATAAAATGTGCTATATATTAAACGCTCAGAGCTATCTGTGGCCTACGATCTGCCCAGCAAACGTACATTTTGTTAAAAATATCTATTTGAAAAAGAGGGTAGATAGTCAGCCGCAGGTTTCTGTGAAAGATGTGAAACGCCTAGCATTCCGCATAAAATGAGAGCGCACCCAATCTTCTCAACATTCCGCACCACACCAACCAAAATAGTTTATATCTTTCCTTGCCGTTGGTCGGCGCTAGTGTCGCGCAACAGATGTAGTGTACTATGATACTAAGTGAAATATTTACACATATAAGTTAACAAAACAATATATTTAAGAAATACACTGCTAGAGAGTTCTTAGTCAGTAATAATTTAATATGAAATATATCGCTCCCAATATCTTTCTTCAATAATTATAATATATGAAATCATTCAAACGTGCGATAGATTATAAAGACAGTATCTGTGCGCATGCCTACTATCTGCTAAAAATTTATGACAGTTTGATGGATTTACATAATTAAAAACGAAATTGCTCAGGACCACGATTGTATAACAAATATGAAATGAATTCTCTCCAATGAGTTTTCTCTCCAATATATAACAATGATGAACCTAATCAACCCAATATCCGTTTCATACAACGCCGTATCAAAATTATATAATTTTCGTTGCCGTTGGTCGGCGCTAGTGTCGCACAAGAGCAGCAGTGAATGATACTAAGCGAAATATTAACATAAACACATTCGTCGTGTATAATGTACATTACTATAATAGAGCTCCTAGTCACGAATACTTTGATATAAAATGTCGATCCCAATATCGCAGTTGATTAATTATGATGCGGCAAAGCATCCAACCGTACCTTAATACGTACAATATATTTTAGAGGTAAATGTGCCTGTGGGCATTCCTACTTTCTGCTAATTTGAATCACGTCTTCGAATACGGAATTATTTGGTGGAATTATTTATTAGAAAAGAAAAGGACATGCTCAGAAGTGGATTACTGTGAAATATGTTAAATACTATGTTCTTCTTAGACAGTAAGAGAGAGCGCATCACTGATCAGTATAGAAAAATCAAGGGTTGTCATTTGTAAGGGTAGTTTTTCTCCGTTACCACTCACAACTTAGCATGTTGCGACGGGTAATTCGAATTACGGCAAGGCTTAGCTATGTGCATCAGGCTTTGAAATTGTTGTTATCCAGCACACTGCTCCTTTGAATATATTGTTTTTCTCTTACTTCGATTCGATGTACGACAGTAGTCTAATAAACCCGTTAGCATTAAATACAGTGTATACGCAAGGTGCTGTTAAATTCTTATTTTATTGCTACAATATCAAGGTACCTAAAATCTATATATTTACGTTACTTCATTACAGATCGTGACCACGTTACATATACATCGATTTATACATACTCGTCGTATCAAAATATATAACAAGAGATGACAAAACGTCAATTTGCGCTAAAGAAGGTGTTAATGAAAATTTTCGTTGACGACTCTTCTACAAAAGTTAACTCTATTTCATCTTCTAGAGCACGCAAACGGTTTATGTGCTCTTGATATCATAAATCTTTGCTGCCGCGAGTCAAAGGACTAGAAACTACACACGGTTATGCTGAGGGTGTGTCACAGAATTCCCCAAACAAGGCCAATGCCGGTCATAATAAATATGACCGCGCTATTATAATGATATTGATATATTATATTGATATATACCGCTATTTGACTTGTTGCTGCTGCCGTCGATCCTGCTCTTGTTTCTGTTATTGATCTGACGCATTTGAGTGTTTTTTCCTTATTTGATTTTTTCTTGCTGTTGTTGTTGTTGCTGCTGCCGCCGCACCAACTGCTACAGCCGTCTCTGTTTATGAGCTATACCTTCATCTTGAGCTTCTCAGTACGCGGCTGATTACAGAATCTGGATTCGAACATTTACGCAACCACTATAAAATAACAGTTGTAGAGACACGCGTGTTTATACGTCGATAAACGACCAATCCCACGTAACCGTGATCCGCGGATTTATTCACAACTGCTTAATTAACGCCGCCAGGTGGCAGATCGTCGTCTTCGTCGTCGGTGAACGTGAGTGGCTTGATGAGTTTATCTTCGATGCAGTCGTCAAGATAGACGGCGACGTCAAACTGCCAGCACTTTACGGCCCACGGGTTCCTGCAACGATCAGTGAACACTCCCTGTACGTATACGGCCAACGGTCGGATCGTATAATGCAAAATATATGCGATATTAAAATTACATTATGTATATTTATGTGCAATAGCACATCCTATCAGGAGTGAATAATAATATATCTATTATTATCTAATCTATTATTATTCACTCCTGATCATATTATATGATTATGCATGATGGTTACACATTAGGCCTATGTATAAGTATATTATGGAAAAGCTAACAGAAAGGAATGGAGGTTGTGGACAAGTCTACGTTAGTTCGGGGGGAGGGGGCATGACGGAGCGCATGCGTGGCAGGAGTGGCGAAGACGGTTTACAAGAATGAAAATTACGACAGGGAAACAGACGTGATATTTTGACGTGATATTTAATAATAATTGCCGCAATTTAATTTGGTTCGGATTTCAAATTCGAGTCCTAAGCTTGGCAATTGGCATTACTTTGGTCGCTTAAAAACCTTTAGTAGGCCTACATAGTAGTATATACTAATTATAGTTTAATGATGATGGCAAATCTTACCATGCGTGGAAGCCATGTGCATTAAAGATCTTATTTGCACAAGCAAAGTCATCAGCAATATCATCATCTACCAAGTCTGAAAAACGAAATATTCTTGTTTTATTTTCTTTCAATTAAAAACAATTACTATATTAGTCTTGATATGAGCGTTATTTCCTATCCGTGCGTCCATCAGTCTGTCTGACTCTCCACCTCTTTGTCCACCCGTCCTCGATATGTAGGTATATATATATATATATATATATATATATA